GAACTTAGGAGAGTTCGTCGTGAATACAAGGCTAACAAGTGAGCTGATCTTTAGCTTTTCTTATGTTTCACTTTGTATCCCAATATGATCATTGTGTTGATCAGTCTGTCATGTCCTTGTCAGGATCTCTGAGGAGGATTACATTAAAGCCATTAAGGTGGAAATCAAAAAGGTTGTTGAACTCCAAGAAGAGCTCGATATTGATGTCCTGGTTCATGGAGAGCCTGAGGTCAGTATCCCTCTGCCTTTTAGCCCTAGGAAGAATAGCATCTTGAGTTTATTGAACCAGGAAAGCATCCTAACTTCTGCTGAAAATTGTGCAGAGAAACGATATGGTTGAGTACTCTGCAAGTGCTGCTGCGCAGGCATTTCTCCATTTCAACTTCAAATATATGTATATTTTTCATCCCTCAACTTTTAGTTAAGAGACTAAAAATATGCATATTTAGATAAACTTAACGGATTAATTAATGAAAGGATTAAAGAAATGTATTTTTCATAATTGAAGGATTAAAAAAGTGCACAAAAAAATTAATGGATGAAAATTGTGCAAAAGCTTAAAGTTGATATTAGCCTTTATATATATTTAAGCTAATTGATATTATATGTATGAATATTTTATTGTATAAATTTTTAAATAGTACCTTTGTACATACAATGAAGACAAGAAAGCAATAAACTTTTCCTCAATTATTTTTTCTTTTCTGTTTCTAACATAGTATTAAAGTTATAAGTTCTTACTTTTATAATCACTGTTTGGTTTTTGAGTTGGATTTTCCAATCTATTCTGAATTTGAAATTTTAACGTTGGATTGCTTTTTCTCAATTCTCAGGTCAATCTTGAGGATTGGAACTCGTCCCACTACTCCTATGGCTGCCAAAGAAGTTATAGACCAACCTACTGCCTTAGCTACTTCAAGTACCAGACTTTGGCAAATTGATTCTAATGGGAACCTTGAATCCTTAAATGAGATGACATCAAATCGTCTTAATGTTCCTACTGCCTTATTAGCTACTTCAAGTCCCAAACTTTGGTTTTTTGATTCTGGTTGTCATAACCATATGACTTCAAGTAGGGATGATTTCTCTTCAACGTCATCAACTAATCCCAATCTTCCTCCTATTCAATGTGCTGATGGTTCCCTTATGAAAGTTACCGACATTGGCAATATTTCTGCACCATCATTGACTTTATCCAATGTTTACATAGTTCCAGAACTTCATTATAATCTTCTATCTGTTAGTCAATTATGTCAACTTGGCCTTAAAGTATCATTTTCCACTGATGGTTGTCATGTCGAAAAATCAACAGGAGAAGTTCTTGGAACTGGTTGCATGGTGAACCGTATGTTTGTGCTCAATTATCTGCATATTTCAAATGAAATAGAGGAGACCCGCAAGTACGCCGAGGTGAAGCCAGCACCCAAGAACATGGTTGCAGCCGCAAAGCTCCTCCACACTGAACTTGCCAGTGCCAAGTGAGAAGGCTCATTAGACATTGGAGAATTCATTCATCCCATACCTATATTACTGAGAAGTCAAAAGAAAAAGCAAAAAATGATTTCCGTATCATCATTTTAATAACTGGCTCATTACTCTGGGGCAAACGTGGTTTCGCATTCTGTTTCTTCTATATTTGTTTTTCTTTGGTTAAATGCTTAATTTGGTCCCTTAACTTTAAGAAATGAACATTTTTGGTCCCTCAACAATTTTTTGCATTTTTTTGATCCCTCAACTATACGAAATGCACTCCGTTAGTCCTTCTGTTAATTTGGGCCGTTAACCTTGTTTATGTGGCATTTTTTATATTTTTTTTATGACGTGGAGAGCAAAATTTCAAAAAGTGATGACATGGATAAAATTTTTGCCATGATGCTATCTGGCGAAAACACACTAAATCCATGCAAGTGGGTCCCACATCACCATTAACAATTGCTTTGCCCATCGATTATGAAATTCGACGGAACTAGCAAATCTGAGTTCGATATAATCTAGAAAATAAGTTCCATCGAATCCAGCTCAATTCACTTAACTCAATTGTCCAAAAATCCCTCGCAACAACCTGCAATTTGAATAATCTCTTGGCAAACAATTCAAATCTCTTGGCAAACAATC